TGGCTGAGCATGGGCGAAGGCAGGGGAATGTTGAGCACGCCCGTCCCCTGGACGCCCATTGCTGTGGCCATCGGGATCTGATGGGGGGACATCACGGGGCTCGTGAGGCCGTACGAGGACACGGGGATGGGCGTGGACTGTGACTTGATGACTGGGCTGTGCGGCCGGCACATCATGGGGATCGCCGCCTGAGCCGCATGCTGTGCCTTGTTTATGTTGAGGTGGAGCGGGTGGCCCCTGGCGCCGCCGCGGGACTCCGACGCAGAAGTCTCCGCGCCCGGCGTCTCCGCCTTCGGACTCATGATGTTGATGTTGGGGACGGCCTCCGTCAGCGGTGACGAGATGTTATACACTTCCTTGGTGCCGAAAACCACCTCATTCGTGGACTTGATGTTTACTTCGGCATGTCTCATGTCGACGCCCGTAAACATGGGCTGCCCTGCCTCATCCTCGTCGTCGTCGTCGTCGTCGGGATGGAAGAGCTCATCATCTTCGGGCTGGTAGCGCTCGTTATCGCCCGGGTGCTCAGAAGGGTCCTGCTGCTCGGAGGAGGAAAAGGAACCCTGCTGGCGAACACGCGAGTCGCTGTCTGCATCACCGTATCGGCGCTGAAGGTCGCCCGCGCACACGGTCTCCTGCTCCGAAAACGAGATCGAGCGTTCGGACGCCGAGGCCGAGGAGTACAGCGACGACGCCGACGACTGTGAAGGCAAGCGCTCTGGGCGTTTGGCCTGCGCCGTCTCTGCACACACCTCGCCCGTCGGGCCCGCTTGTGAAAGACGAATGTCGAAATTTATATTAGGATCACCATTTACTAGCGCATGCAAATCCCTAGAATGGGCATCTTTCGGCGCAGAGGGAAAGTTCTTGGCGTCATTAATATTTCCTTGGCAAGCGTTGCTAAATCCATTCATAGTTACGGTTCGCACGTCACAGCCTCTCGGCAGGGCGATGTCCTCGAGCACCGTAGGCACTTTGGTTGAACGGACGTCTTCTATAAAATTCGTACTAACAAAGTCGCCCCCATTTTCCATACACATGTACACGGGCGACTGGTGACTCACTGTACTGAAATCCATCTCGATTTCTAGCACCTGCGAACGCACGCGTCAATCAGACGAAGTCCTTCAAGACAAAAGCTCCGCGTCGCCCACAGGCATAGAGAGCAGTGCTAGTGAACGAGGCGAGGGGAAGGTAGGAGCCTCCCTCGGCCAGCCTCCATTATAGCGCCTCCTCCCGCGTCATAGTGACCTGCAAACAGAAAAGAAAAACGTGTTGAAAATTTTATCACTGACAGCACTTAACTTCCATACATACATACATATATACATCAATAAATTGTATATGGAATACCTACAAGTTGCATGATAAATCTTATCACGGTTTTTATTTCAATATGCAAAGCTAATTGGGATAACTCTAGAAAATATTAAGCATGTCAACGGTAAACCCACTGCAATAGTATATTCGTCTTAAAGCTACAGAAAAATATAGAAATTAATCCGTGAAAATTAGAACAACCGAACTTCATTAACATGGATCAGGAAACATATAAGTCGTTATCATAAACGGAAGGTGGTGTTGCCATATTGCTGAAGTATGAAAAAGAAATTGTAAACAACCTACTTTGCAATTGCCATTTGCAAACAGAAATGCAGAAATATTGCGATCATAATGTGGTGTTGCAAAAACCTGTTTTACGTTCAAGAGTTACTGATATTTTACAATTTATAAACACTTATTTGTTACAGAGAAAAACGCTTCCTACTTCAGGACCGGAAGTCACAAAGACAACCGTTTTTTTTTTTTCTCTTCTTTTTTTTTTTTTTGTCATCCTCTTTTACATACTTTATGCATATTCAGGGGACCTACTTAGAACTTACTTATGCTATGATTTAAGACTAAATTGCTATTCTCCCTGGAAAGGTTGCGTCATATTAAGTATAAAATATTTTGTATAAAAAAGAATAAAGAAAAAAGTTGGTCACTTTGATTTCATGTCTAGATGCCATTTCTCTCCAGAATTTTGACTTTCGTATTAATTTCTTTTGGTTTATTCGTTTATACACAACGTTTCATGTAACATTAATAAAATCGAGCATTTTTAACACCATTGTAAAATATTGATGGCGGATGATTAACAATATTATGAACTTTTCCTTTTATTCCTGATTTTTTTTTTTTTATGGCGAGGCTTACCCATTTCCAAATATCGCCAGAAAGAAGTTACCTTTTTTTTATTATTCTAATAGGTCACGGGTAGGAGCAAATATGATACAGAAAATCCTTCAACGGAAACTGGAGTCCCAAATTTTACCGAACAGTGATAATAATCATTGTGTCAAGGATCAATATATTTACGAGTTGGCAACTTCCCCCGAATCCTCACTGAAGGTTACCAGTTAGGATTTAGAGCGCACACTGTCCGCCATGCTTCACTCTTCCACGCCCATTCTCATTATCTCTCTTGGTTTCCTACTTCTCTCTTTCTCTTTTCCTC